CCTGGCTGTATTGGGAGCTCTTACTCTGCTGGTGATACCTGTGAGCTGGCTCTGCCTTCGCCACTCAGGCTGTCCAGGTAGCGGCCAGCATGGGGAAGTCACCTTCTTGGGGGTCACACGGACCCTGACAATCCCCCACTGAACAGCCTTTCCTGTGACTAGGCTGCACCTGCCCAGCTCTGGTGCCCTGGGGTTTGAGGGGCTGGCCCAGTGACCTGGGCACACACAGGGGCAGGTGGACAGTGTGAATCCCCTGCCATCTATCCTTATTCTGTAGCTAAGGCTGGCTGAGGCCAACCTGGTCATGGGGTGGTCATATAAAGCATAGTCAAATCCGCCCTCCCACCCCATGGACCTGACTCTGCAATAAAGGCCTGGTCCCTTCCTCCCTGCCCTGTTGTGGACCGAGACTCCCCTTGGACGTTGGGTGGCACATCTTCCCCTAGAAGCGTGCATCCATCTGTCTGTACACAGCAGGGCAGAACAGATGCACTGGGGGTGTTAGTCTGTAATCTCCCTTTGGGGCAATACCGTGAAAGTGGGGGCCTCACCAGGATCTTTGTTTGCACCAGGTCTTCGGCCCCAGAGCTCGGCCCCTCCAGGCCCCACGGAGACGCAGGTAGGTCCTTTCAGGAGCCATCGGTGTCTTGGTCCCTTCCTGCACTGGACTGGTCCAGAAAGTGGGAGTAGGGCCTGCTTCTGTGCCCCATCACTGCTCTGTGCCTCAGTTTCCCTGTCTCTACAACAGGGACAGGCTGGTGAATCTGGGGTGGTTTCTCTCCCTTTCCCCAGCAGGACGGGCTTTGGGGCAGAGCCTGCCTCCCCTTCTTGACACATGGCACCCTGATGCATCAAGTCTAAAGAGTTTGCAGGGCAATTTTTAGTTTAGTTGTTTTAGTGCCTTTGACCCTTTGATTACTTTCCTCTTCTTCCAAATTACCCTGTGGGATTTCATAAGAGCTGCAGGTGCTCCATGATCTACAGCTGTGCTTACTGACTTTTACTGGAGTGGGGGGAGCTGTTTCTCCTAAATTGAGCCTGACAACATGAGGTCAATTTATATGCAAAGGGGACTTGCAATCCAAACAAAAGGTACATTAAAAACTTCAGTGCTTGGATAATCTCTAGACAGAGAACACATGATTGCATTTGAAAGCCTCGTTCAATTTGCAGTGACAGCCTGTCATTCTCCGTGCTCTTGAAGTCAGACTCCAGTGAAATAAAACACCCTCCCACACCAAGGCCGAAGCCATAAGAGCCAAGAGGGAATATCTAAAAAGGCCCATGAAAGCCGATCTGGCTGAGATGTTCCCTTCTGTTGCTGGTATCATTTTGTAGCATGAGGCCCTGCTTTCTCTGTGGGAGGTTCAGGTTCATGGTCTTGTGTTGTGTGAGTGTTGGTGGTAATTTTGCTAAGAGGCAAGACAACGGATTTGTCTGGGATGGTTTGAATAGGGATGATGCTGCCTCAAGCAGGGCTTGGACTAGGTGTGACCTCTGCAGGTCTCTTCCAGCCCCACTTCTCTGGGACCCTATAAGGCAGCATCTGATTTTGCTGCTTGTTGTCAAACAGGACCGCATCGTCTATGCCCAGCTGGACCTCGATTCAGGAAGACGTGGCCACAGCAAGCAGTAGCAGCCAGCAAAAAAGACAGAGAGTGGGTAGATCACAAATGGCTTAGTACGGCGGGATCTGGGTGCGGATGTTTGCTCATGTTTTGAATGGGATTGAGCAGCCTGGGAGGTTTGCAGGACTGAGCTGCGATTGGGTTCTGCACCGAGGCTGTGACATGCATAGAAAACCCAGTTTAGTTCAATAACTCCCTCTGGAGATGCTACTTTATTGTCCTGTAATGAGTTGGGTGTGAGGCTGGCTAATTGGATGGTGTTTATAGCATTTCCAACCCCAGCCAGATGCATAAATGCTTTTTCAACTTGAGGAACATGAACCCCTCTCACAGCACTGTCATTGCTGTGGCTAATTGTATTTAAATGGGAGAAGAAATGACAGCATGTGCCCAGCTGCTCTCAATTGTCCTAACTCCATCTACATCAGCCAGGATTTGGCCCTGAGTCTGAAAATACCTTCAGTCACCATCGTGTTGTATCTCTGAACCTCCTCATGGCCTTTCCATGTTGTGACGCATTACATATTGTATGTGCACATTAAACTGTTACCTAGACCTGCTCTTACTTGGGAGTTTTCTTCATTTCTTAGATCAGGCTGAGATTTCAAAGAGGGGCAGGAATTCTTGTGGGTGATCTCCTTTATTGGACCAACTACATGGTTGGGATAGTGATAGACAGCTTTCAGGCATCACAGCACCCTTCGACCAGTCCCTGGGAGACAGGCAGACACAGCACGCTTTGAATCCAGTGAGATTTTAAAGCCATTGCAGAGGTTTTAGCCAGTCATCTGCCATGCCTCATGAGTAGTCTTTATTATAGATTTCATAGATTTCATAGACATCAGGGCTCAAAGGGACCTCGGAAGATCATCGAGTCCAGCCCCCTGACCAAATGGCAGGAAGTCAGCTGGGGTCACAGGATCCCAGCAAGATAAGCATCCAGTTTCATCTTGAAGGTGTTCAATGTAGGCGCTTGAACCACCTCCGGTGGCAGGCTGTTCCAGACCTTGTGGGGCTCGGACAGTAAAGAAATTCTTCCTTATGTCCAGCCTGAAACAGTCTTGTAGTAGTTTATGACCGTTCGACCTAGTCGCCATCCCTTGGGGCGCTTTGGTGAACAAATGTTCCCCCAGATGCTGGTGGTCACCCCTGATAAGCTTATAGGTGGCCATCAGATCACCCCTGAGCCTGCGCTTTTCCAGGCTAAAGAGCCCCAGGGCTCTCAGCCTGTCATCGTAGGGTCTGCTTCCCTGACCTCTGATCATGCGCGTGGCTCTTCTCTGGACTCTCTCAAGCTTCTCCACATCCTTTTTGAATTGTGGAGCCCAAAACCGGACGCAGTACTCCAGCTGCGGCCTCACCAAGGCTGAGTACAAGGGGAGAATGACGTCCCGGGATTTGCTTGAGAAGCATCTATGGATGCAAGCCAGCGTTTTGGTCGCTTTACTAGCCGCCGCATCGCATTGCAGGCTCATGTTCATCTTGTGGTCAGTGATGACCCCCAAGTCTCTTTCTTCCATAGTGCTAGCCAACATAGCACTGCCGAGCCTATAAGGATGCTGCGGGTTTTTTTTCCCAAGGTGGAGAACCTTGCATTTATCGGCGTTGAACACCATCAGATTCTCGTCCGCCCACTTGCTGAGCCTGTCCAGGTCAGCCTGGATAACCTGCCTGTCTTCTGGTGTGGATGCTTTGCCCCAAAGTTTGGTGTCATCGGCGAACTTGGCCAGTTCTGATCGCTTCTGACTCCAGTGTCCACATCATTAATGAAGATGTTGAACAGTATGGGTCCAAGGACAGAGCCTTGGGGGACCCCACTGGTCACAGGACACCACGATGAGTGACTTCCATCGATTACTACCCTCTGGGTCCGACCCCGGAGCCAATTTTCCAGCCAGCGGATCGTGGAGGACCCAAGGCGACAATTGGCCAGTTTCTCCAAGAGGCGATCATGGGACACCAGATCGAAGGCTTTTTTGAAGTCAAGATATATGACATCAATCTCTTCTCCCTTGTCCAGGTGATAGGTCACCTGGTCGTAGAAGGAAATGAGATTGGTCAAGCAAGACCTACCCGCAACAAACCCGTGCTGGCTATCCCTTAAGATGTTGGTGTCGGCCAGTCCATTAAGGGGCCTCTTTTTAATAAACTTTTCTAAGATCTTCCCCGGGATAGAAGTCAGGCTGATGGGCCTATAGTTAGCCGGATCCACTTTCCTCCCTTTCTTGAAGATAGGCACCACATTGGCCTTCTTCCAGTCTTCGGGCACTACACCAGAGCGCCAAGAGTTTTCAAAGATCCGTGCTAGAGGCTGGGCTATGATGCTCGCCAGCTCCTTGAGTACCCTGGGGTGAAGATTGTCAGGGCCAGCTGACTTGAAGGTATCCAGCTTCTCAAGATGTTCCTTCACAAAGTCAGCATTAATGGAGGGCAGGGGATCACCCTCACCCGGACTTCCCGGCCCTGTAGCGGGCATGGGCGTCCCATGGGACTGATGAAAGACCGACGCAAAGTACCTATTTAATAGGTTGGCTTTTTCCTGGGCGTCAGTTGTCAGTTGCCCCATCTGGTTCATCAGGGGTCCAATGTTGCCCCTGCTTTTCCTCTGGCTCCCCACATATCTGAAAAAGGACTTTTTATTGTCCTTGATGCTCGAAGCTAGTTGGAGTTCAGTTGCAGCCTTGGCTTTCCTGGTCTGCTCCCTACAGGACTGGACAAGTGCAGAATAATCCTCCTTGGAGGTGACTCCCCCCATCCTCCATCCTTTGTAGGCCTTTCTTTTTAGCCTCAGGAGGTCTGCTAGGTCCCTGGAGAGCCAGAGGTGCTGCTGTGCCCTCTTGCTGCCTTTCCTCCTCATTTGCAAATTTTAAAATATCATTATAAGGTTATTCAAGGCACTTGATATCTCATGCCTGGCTAGTAAGTCCTCACAGCAAAGTTAATCCATGTTAGACCCTTGTTCTGTTTCCAGCCCCATCTGCATATCACATAAAACCTCACTCCTTTGTGCATGATGGTGCTAGTGACAGAGCCCTTGTGCACACGACTGGTTGGTTACTAATGGAATCTCTCTGCAGTGTGGACGCAGGCCAGTGCTGCCACTCACCCCTTGATGGCCTCCAGCCCCTTCCTGCAACTCCCCGTGGTCTGTCTCTCAACTTACTCATCTCCCTACTCCGTGCATCCAGACCAGGGGTGGGCAAAACGCAGCCCGTGGGCCAGATGCGGCCTGCCAGGCCATTCCATCTGGCCCGCGGGACCCCTAAAAAATGTAGAAAATTAATACTTATCTGCCCCTGGCTGCCTGTCATGTGGCCCTCAAAGGCTTGCCAAAACTCAGTAAGTGGCCCTCCGCCCAAAATAATTCCCTGCCCCTGATCCAGACCTACCTTCCCCACTAGCCACACGTACCATGAGATGACACCTGAATTCCTTTGAGACACGAATCCATTTCATGGACCAGGAAAGTCTCCCTGGAGAAGTGCTAATCATTGCAGTTAGACTGGACAAAGCCCTGGATGGGGGTACAAACCCTGGTACCACACAGGTTTCTTCATAGGCATAACACATTGATGATGGCATTTGTGCCAATTAAACAGCTTTCCCAGGTAGGGATCCAATACATAATTACCAGGCAAGTGCTTATAGGTATGTCACCCCTTGTGCCATGGTAACTTCACATGACCAATTGCACTACATGCACAACAGTAGTGAAACACCAAGACAAGCCAGAGCAGAGTCAGGGGAGATTTGCACCTTATAGACTGACTACATCAGGGCTCAGCTTCTATAAGCAGTGAGCTGACTTCAGTCAGATCTCACTGAGGGACTGCAGGACCCTGAACTTCTAAACAGAGAGCAGTGATCAGACTACAAGGTCAAGTTGCCTTGGAGAGGGGGTGACACCAGGGAAAGA